TTCATGTATTCCTTCATTGTTTTTTTATAAAGAAGTTTCTGCTGGATTACTAATTAGAAAAAAGTAATTATTTAGCCTTCTACTTAGATTTTAATAAAAGTGAATATATTGACAAAAAAAGGATTGTTAAAAATAGATGAAATTATTATTATTATCATTGAATATAATAAAAGTAGAAAACTAGAAATTTTTATCTATTTAATTTATCAATAATATACCTTATAGAACATCTAAGTTATGAGCGTGTTCTTTGGTAGACAAAAGATGGAGGATTGTATTTTTATATCAACAATCATGTATTTAAACAGAATAGACCATCCGCGACAATGACCTACATTGTATCTCTAAAATAAAGAACCTCATTTTTCAAACTTTTTTTCATTTTAACATATCTTTATCTACTTCAATAATGTCTTGTTCACAGCTAAATGGGCTGCCTTGCAACTTTAATCAAGCTAAAACAGAACTCATTTTGCACACCTGATGTTAAGTTTGCTGCTCTTCTATTGTTATCCATTTGCTTTTGTAGCTGGTTTCAACTATATTCCATAGTTTCAACTTTAACTGGACAATAATTTTTCCAAAATAATTTTAAAATTAGCGAACCTTTATTTTTAAATGGTTTAAATAATTAAATATACATCTGCTGTTGAAGCTTTCCAACTGCAACAACTTAAATAGAAAGTTAATACTAATCATATTGCATTATAAACCAAACACGTAATACTTTTCTCTTTTTAGAAGTCCTGAGGCTAACTCTTGCAAAACACTCTAGCAAGAATGATACAATCATTCAACCTCTTTGATGTATACTAATTAACTGCTTCTAGAATTTTTACTAACTAGTTATTTACTGCGTTTTAAAGTAAAGCAGAAAATTTCAAAGTTTGATCACCCAGTTTGTTTTTTATAAAGCCTTTTAGATGCTTCTTTAGCGTTGTTCCTTTATACTAACTGATTATCTTTAGAATTATTAAAACTCTAGAATTTAACTGAACTTTTACTGACTGGCACTTTTTTTTTTCACTTTTTTAAAGAAAAGTGAAAAAAAAAATGAAATCTTGATTTAGCCTCCTTGATAGCTTGAATAACGATTGAAAATAAATAAAAAAAAGGCAATTAAGATACTTTGAAGCAATCTGATTTGCAATCAATTTGATTACTTAAAACGTTTTGTTTAGAAGAGACTTCAGTAAAACTTTTTTTTTGAAACAATCTGTCGTTTTCCTTATTTAAAACGTTTTTTTAAAAAAAGACTTTAGATTTAACTTTTATTTTCTAATACGCAACAATTAAAAATCAAATTTATCCAATCAAAATTTGAATAGCATAAATTTTAAGAATTATTGGTTAAACAAGAAATATAGAATTTTGGACCCCCTCCCCCTTAAAAGAAAGGCCATCAATTTTTTTTTTGTACAGCAGAACGCCTAGCGCTGATGGTCTTTACTCGTTGCTTTCGTTTTTATTAGTTTGAATAATTTAATAATGTTGTTTAGTTTAGAACAAATTTAGAACATTAATGTAATTTCAAAACTTTTGAAACTGTTCAAAGATGTAATTGTTCACAATCCTTAATAGTTCATTACCAAAGTTCATTATTACTTAATAAATATTTATTAATATAAATAGATTTAATATAGTATATTTATAGATGCTACTTTTATCGATTTTATCAACTTTTAAATTAACATTGTTAAAATAAAAATTAAATAAAAACATTGAGAAAAGATTACATAGTAAAATCATTTTACTATGTCATTTTTGTTTAGCAGTGCACCCTGTATCTAGTTTAGCAAATGAAAATGAGAATTGTTTTCAATCAGCTGCAGAAATCAAATGCGCACCTTTCAAATTCAATAATGGATAAAAAAACTGTAAGTCCATCAGCAAGTATATACACATATATATGTATATATATATATATATATATATATATATATATATATATATATATATATATATATATATATATATATATATATATATATGTATATATATATATATATATATATATATATAGATTTATTATAGATATTCTCAAAATAAGAAAAACTTGTCATTGCCCGGTTTTTAAAATGATGTCTTCAAATGTTATCTACGATTTTTTGTATAGATTTTGAAGAATATTTATCAAATTTATTATTTCCAGATGTGATTGCATCACCTAAAGATATGCAGGCATTGTTTGCTTGATTGGCAAGTATTGAAGTATATCTTGGTGAGTTGTAAAACACAACAAATTTGATTTTTAAGCTAATGACTACCGCTATTTATACAGATATATGATGGAGTGTAATTTACAGAACCGGAATACACCGAACAAAACACACTAATGTAATAGGACCAATATCAGCGACTAATATTAAAGCATTGGTCCCGATTGGTCAACTGGGCGTGGCAACTATAGTATATGGCCAAGCCACGCCCAGTTGACCAGTTGGGACCAATGCTTTAAAATTGTTCGCTGATATTGGTCCTATTACATTGGTGTGTTTTACTCGGTGTATTCCGGGGCTCTGTAAGTTTTACTCTATCATATATCTGTACAAATAGCGGAATAAGCTCATTTCAAGTTTAGACGTCAATTGCGAACGATAAAGTTAACTAAGTAAAGTTATCATGGAAGAATACGAAAAACAATCAGAGGGTGAATTAGAGTTTGATGAGGTGCAGAAGGAGGTGTCTGATATCGAGTTAGTGAGGTGCATAAGGAGGTGTTGGATTTCAATGTGAATAATTATTTACCAAATAAAAGTAGCGATTGCGAGCAAGCATTTGATAATAATTTTAACGATTATTTTCATTATTTGGATGCATTGTTTAATTGTGAGGACGAGAATGTTAAAGTTTATAAATCTTGTTACTAGGATTGGACTAACTGGAGTCACTTGTGGGAGCAGACAAACAACAATATCAAGAGGAGTTGCGGAAAAGATTAAAGAGTACGGAGCAAGACCTATTCATATCATCTGTTCCGTGCCTAGTAGTAATATCTTTAAATACGGGAAGCCACTCCTTACCATCCGCCACGACGGCTGCAATTTGAAAATTAATTTACATATTGTTATTCTTCTTCCATTCAATAAAGTCAATAAAATGGCCATTCGATCCTAATATTATTGGAAGACAAATCTTTTGGTGCAACTAGTAAAGGATTTTGTCGCTATTGCAACGTGGGAGAATCTTTTTTTGATAGTACAACATGCGTTGGGGTTACGAAGCCATTGTAGTAGAGTGTGTTCTGGATGCTATTCTGCCACACGTAGTTCGAAATGTTCGAAATGTTTCAATGATAATCATAAATTCGAAATCCGCTACATTAATTCTGGAAGACATTTGCGAAATAGCATCTATACAATCGCATCAAATACAGTTACAACCCGTCGCAGTGCTCTATGGCTTGCGACGAATGTGTCCTATGCTTATCCTACATCGAAGGAAAAAAAGCAAACCTCATATATTAGCGCATTTTCCAAAAAAGTCAGGGTTATTAAAAATTGAGGGGTTGACCCCCCAACTTCGAAGGCTGTGTCGCCACTATTACCATTAGGCTATTTAAGTCACGCTTAAAGTAGAAAATCACTATTAACGTCTATAAAATGGAAAATGTACATGTAACGATGTAATAATTATAACAAAAATCGTTGGTATTACTTAGAAGCACACTCATGTAAGTGCTATTTACAAAATAGTGACCGAATTTCAAAGTCATCGATAACGCTTTGAGGTATCAGTAGCAAAATCTGACAAAACTATAACTAAAACTGCAATAAATCCTACACCAGTTATCGTATCAGCCTGAAATTTTGATCAAAGTTTGATGTGACTATTAGCTATATTTAAATTAGTCTTTATCAGATTATATCGAGTGGATTAAATTTTACAAGTGTTTTATTGGCGCACTATGAAGTCAAAATTTGACTTATTTGATTATTTAAATTAAAATATTTTCCGTGGTCAAAGTTAAATGATTTAACCCTACTATTACGTTGGGGTCCAAACGGACCCCACGAGTAGTTTGTTTTTGCATTATATATTTATGTAGTCAGTATTTTTTTTCAAAATTATATGTATCTGTTAATTATCACAAGATGTACAAAGACCCAAAAAATTGTTTTTGGGCA